GTCTGTGCTCATTCACCTCTCTGCTCTCAACACCGGGCGGCGTCACACAGTGAGTTCTCAGGAAGGCAAGACCGCCTGACCCCGCCTGGACCTCGCACTGACACCCCGGCAGGTGCATCGCACCCCTGTCCACGCCGGCTTCCTGTGGACCTTCTCCCCCCTCCCGCCCAGACTCCAGTGATGAAGCGCTCCTCTTGTGTTTCAAAATCCCCCCTGTCATACTATTTCCCACTCAAATCTACAACCAGCCTTTCAGACTTATTCCTCTGCCAGTCTTCCTAAAACCTAGAGTCCTTTTCATTATCCTTTCTCTTCTCCAGTTATTTTTCTTCACAGGGTCCGTTTTGCTAACATTTTTCAGCAGGCTCATGGATATCATGGGCTAAAACAGCCTCTGGTGGATAAAGAACAGAAAGTAACAGTAATGTGGCAACTTCGATATCCATGTATTTTTGCTAAAGTCCATTGTATTCCTCAAGCTGAAGATAGTCTTTATAATCTGGCAAAAAAACATGACATGAACTTCTTAGGTATCATGTCATCACAAAGAACATTTGTCCTAGGGGGACAGCCTTAGGAACCCTGACTGCCAGAGAGAACCGAACCCCCCTGAGAAGGTGGGGCAGGTCCCACGGAACACTAGATCCTGTCTGGGGGCTGTCTGCATTCAGGACCTCCACAGACTGTGCCCTGTCTTCTCGGGAAGGATGAGACGTTCCACTGAGGGCCACTGGGCCAACTGGGAGGCTCTGAGAAAGGAAGACAAAAGGAGATTTAAAAGCCCCACTTTTGTGAATGTATGTAATTATTAACTTAAAAAAAAACCTAGCCATGCCTCAGTGCAGGAGGCCTTGATGTGTTCAAATTTAAAAACAAAACTACCCATTTAATATCATACACAGAATTAAAATATTTGGATACATTTTATTAAGTGTTTATTTTTCCTACACGAAAAGAGGCAAAAAATAAACAAAAAATACATACAGCTTATGTTGGGCTGGGAAAAAAGTCAGTCATGGATTTCTCCTCCTAAGATCTGATATTTTATTCCGTATCCTAGAAAACACTGTTTTAAAAAAAAAAAATTATACAACTGACTCTGCAAGTTCCAACTACTCTGAGTACTCCGCCTTACAGTGCAACCCCCGACAGGTCAACTACACTAAGATTCGAGCGGCATACCCTCTGTACAGCTCATCTGCAAGCAATCCAAGTGCAAACCACTACTCAACTACGGTGCTGGAAGAGTGACCGAGGCTTTCATGGCATCTCCCTCAGGACACACAGCTGGACGTGACCGCCGGACCGTTGGCATCAAGTCTCTACGGAAAGACGCATTGCAAAACACGCCTCTACTGTGGCTGCTTCTAGAAACAACTGGCAAAAAACATTTAAAGCTACAATTTATTGCTCCAGATTTAACTCGCAGAACCATACTGTTGTGTACAAACTCTAATCTCCATAGATGCTCAGACGTGATTGTCTCCTCGTGCCTAACACACAAAATACAGGCTGCTATCTGTACAGTTTACAGTACCGAGACACAGAGATTTGAGAAGGAAGTATAGATATGTACTTTGCAAAGATACATGATTTTACAGCAGGGGTTTACCCAAACTTATTTTTTACAGCCACTTTAAAATAGACAACGACTTCACTAGAATAGCTAAATTACATCCAAGAAAGAATCAGTGTGTCGAAAGGAAACAGACTGGCCAATTCCCCAAGCTCCCAAATTATTTTTATATGTCTTTTTATTTTCTTTTCCTTTTTTTTTTTTTGAAGAAACTCCTATACATAAAATGAAAATAATATGTGGATATTTTCTTCAGTGCTGGACTAAGCAGGTTCTTAAAACAAGACATTAGTTTGCCCTTCACTTCCAAATGCCTGGAAATAAGATATACTACTGCTTTAAAAGAACCATCGGAATGCTTCAGCGCTGGGAACAGGTGTTCTCTATAAAAAAAGAGCAAGAAAACAAGTTAAGCTTTCTTTCTATGCCAACATAGAATTAGATTTTTCTCCTTTACACTTCAGCAATATTTTTAGTCAACAATACACAACATAATGACTTGTATATTTCAACATTTAATAAAAAAAGAAATGTTCAATCTTAAAATATTACAAAAATTAGGATATTGAATTTAATGCTAATTAACTGAATATAATGATTAAAACACATTGGTCTAAAAAACACAGGAAACAGCCTAGAACAGGGACAGCAGTCAGTCACCTGCACATCCTGTGAAAGGGTGATGGCTAGAAATCAGGAAAGTACTTTCTTTATTCTGGAGAATTTTTTTACATCAAATATTACATCAATATTACCTCTATCGCTTAACACTACTAATGCTAAACATTCCTACATATGATCTAATCAGAAATATTATGACAAAATATAGCACTATTTTAAAGTAAGTCTGTGTTTTCAACAAATTAACGTCATATATAGGAAAAAACTTATACTAACCAATGATACTCAATGGAGCATAAACATCCTTTTGTACCATAAAAATACCACAGTTTTCCAAAGGAGTAATAAGCTAACAATAAAAGTGTGAGCAATCCTTTAAACAAAAGTTTATAGTTACCATGTGTTTTTTTGTTAGATAAACAGTAGTTGAGCTATTGAATTTTCCTCTCTACATTAGCATTACAGTAATTCATCATACCACACTCTTCATTATAAAACAGAATCACATGAGTACATACTGGTACATAAGGTACATAAGAAACAAGCTAAGAGTAAATTTTCCTATGGGGCAAATGAGAAAGAGTTGACTTTATTCCTTAGACCAGTCCAACAAGCCATGTAGACTATAAGATGGATGCTAAAAATAAATAAGTACATAAATTGGTATATTGAATGTCACCGAAATATTGAGTAGGTATAGAGGAACATGTACACACACACACATCTTGTAAACACAGAGACAGTGTCAACAGCACTTGAATTTCACATTTCAGAAAATACATGAAAAAGTCAACTACAAACACTCTTCAATAATTGAGGTTAGCTTTTATTTACTTTCTCACATATGACTTATTTGGTTGACACAGTCCTACTGTAGAAATGTTGTCTAAAAATAAAAGTGTACTAATTGATTAAGATGTCAATTGAAATTTAAATGAATAATACAACCATTTCTGAAAGCAAAGCTGGTTTCAGAATCTGCACTAAAAAGAATTTTTAAATAATTGTCCTCACAGTCAACATAAATTTCAAAATGACTGTGCTAAGAACTAATGATATCTGATCTACGTTTGTATACACGTATATACAAAAATACTTAACTTGTGAAGTATTTTCTAAAAGCACAAACAAAAAGGTCCATTATTCCCATAAAAACAGTACTTATTAATATTTTACTCCTCACTCCTCTGATCTCATCTGTTTTCTTCTCTCCAGCTCACTGTGCTACTTGGATCCCCATCATCTGATTTGGTTGGTGAGAAAAACCCCTTTAACACATTCTAAAATTAACTTCTGAATGATAAATTTAATAATCAGATATGCTCATTACACTTATTTAACAATTATTAAAGGAATTATATGAATAAGAAACATGTTCATTCTAACATTCATGTTTGACACACACACGCACACAAGCAATAAATGAAAACTTAAAAGTTTATACCAGATGCTAACTTTCTGCCTGCTGCCAACTAAGAATAAATTTCATCTAAGTAGGCATACTTATATAAACGCAGTCGTTTTTAACAAGATAGTTAGGTCCAAGCGTATCCGTGCAATTACAGATTCACGTACGAAAAATAAACATGTGCACGTACATTCGTAGCTATTCACATTTACGTGTGGAGTATATGACACAGACATGCCAAGCTCTTCTCAGATGCCAACTGGAAACAAGACTGCAAGTATATACTTACATAATTTTGTATCGTGATGAACATACATGTTTATGAAGATAAACAGAAAAAGTATACGAGGTCCTTTTTTTAAATGAGATGAACTCCTTATGTCTTAGACACATTTTTAAATTTCTTTTCCAGCTCTTTGCTCTTCATGTGCCCCCTTCACTACTCAGCGTTATTTTCAATATTCCGAAAAAGCAGGCTTTATAAAATGCCACCTGAGATCAAAGGTCATTGTTGTAAGGAAAAAGATAATCACTTCTCAATGCTTGTTAGCACAAAAAATTAATTATATAATGCAAATGCAAGAAAAGCAGAGAGCTGGTTTTCTACTAACATGATCTGTAAAAAACAGCACATGATGTGTACGTGTCACTCTGTACACGTTGAGACCAGCGGTATGTCCACATACAAGGCTATGGACAAGCCACTGCTGTAGGGTGACAAGCAGGGAAGTATTTTTCAAAAATTATTTCTCTCTTTTATTAAGATCTTTGAGATCATGAAGCCTAAAAATGATTAGTTGGGAAAGCATCTAAAATATGTAAGAAAAGTTAGAAAAACCACTGGTGCACTAATTAGAACAAATTATCAAGGGATTCACCAGAAATTTGAAGAGAGCTTTCTCTAACAGTTTTATTTCCGGGTTAAAAAAGTAACAAAACTCCTTAGTTCCCACAGGCCACATGAAACTCACGATGCACAGCCAACCTCCGGCCCAGTTTTCATCAGGCTCACCAGAAGTCTACGTTAGGCCTGGTCTAAGTTCTTTTCAAGATGGGTGAAGCAACACTGTTTTCACAGGTAACGTATTGGGCTAAATTACAGGTTTTGATTAAGTCTGTATTAACTTGGGGGCATATCTTCTGTAATTTTGTTAACGAATGAGGTCGTCTTTGTAAGAGGTCCTCTGTTTTAAAGGGCTCGGGAGCTCAGCACGCCAGCACGGGCTCTAAACACCTGACCAGCTACCTTTGGGTTATATAAATTCAAGAGTCCCAGCCGGGGAATCAGCTCCTGATGAGATTATAGTGACTGGATCTCAATGATGCTCGCAGGAAGTCGTTATCCTGAGTGACGGGAAGGGAAGGGGATGGAGGAAAAGGACAGAACTGAGTCGCTCAGCAGTGTGTAAGGCGGCCTTCACTGCTCCTGCAGGTGTAGACACAACACAGCGGCCTGCTCCCCGAGGCCCAGGGGAAGCCTGCAGCCCCGCTCTCCTTCCGGCTGCTGGAAAGCATGGCGTCCAGAGAATTCATCCCTACATGAGCCAGATACAAGACGTCAAGCTTAAAGGAATGCCTTCTGTTTCTCTCCTAACTTTAAAAAGGGAGGGTATTTCCTTGAATAAAAGAATGATATAATCCAAGCCCAAGCAAATTTTACATTTACTTTTTAAAGAAATGAATACAAAAATTATCAACGTCTTTGGCAGAAATGTATCTCAGTTTTTCATTAAATCAGCAATGAAGAAATAAACAACCTACAATAAGTAAGAATCCCAAAAGCTACCACCTTAAAATTTGAGCATAACTTGCCCTTTTGTGGAGCCTGCTAAGCAGTCCGGGACTGTGCTACCCTCAGGGTGAGCAGGAGTCTACATGCTCCTGTTAAAATGAGTCAAGTCTAAAACAAACTCACCTCCTAAAAGCTGAAAATGGGCTATCTATAACCCTGTCCATATGAAGACGTGTGGGACTGGCTACTGATATCTAGATACAAGATATAAAATGTAGCAGTATTCAGGACACTAAACAAAAACTAATCATTTCTAATAAAGCTAGACATGAGTTTTCAAAGAGCAAATTAAAGGCAACTCCATGCTGAAATTTACTTCAGAATGCGTAAAGTTATAAATCGAGATAATAATGATGACACTAGCAGATTCTGTAACTAAAGTTAAATATATCTTTCTAATATTTATTCCTATAGTTTCTAATCCAAAAATCTCAGTGATTCACCTAGGCCTTCAGATTCTACTGTGAAACAGGACGACTCTAACACACTGATTCCCAAGATGAAGTCAGTATTTTGGGATACCATTATTCTTACACTAATGAAAAGATAATTTCCTGCTTTTCCATTTATTGTTAATTAAAGAAACATTGGTCATCCAATCCTTTTCTGATTCCAATATAATGATGTGAAAATGCTTTTTCCAACCAAAGCAAAGCAATTCTGAGCTGCAGCTCTCGTGGACTCTTCTGAATTCCTGCTCCACTGCGAGGAGCCTACCGCCCTGTGCTGACTGCTGGCCACCTCAGGCCTTGAAATCAGACCCCTCCCTGCAACCGATCGACCTCTTCACACGAGAACTCGAAAATCTTAATGAACCACTGAAATTCTGCAGTAGAAAGTATGTGAATAAATAAACAAAAGATAATAGAGGGTCTCATTGTTTGCCTTTAGATATTCGATTATATTTTGTTTCAGCTTCATATTAAACTTTCAATCTTCGGGGTGTTTGGGATGAACAAAAGGAAAAACATTCCTCCTTGGAGAAATGGAAAATTGTATCATATACAATGTTGTGAATGTGAGTACACACATGTACATTAATACAAATCTTTGTATAACTAATAATTATTGTCTAAAATGATATCCATAAAATGTTAGAGACTCCTCAAAATGTTTTTAGCAGAAATATTTTTCTATGTCCTATTTATAAATAACATATTTTAAAAATCGTAGTCGACTAACTATAATAGAATTATTAGCAATCACAGGTATAGCCTAGGTTAATAAGTCTGAGAGAACAATTAACATATGATAAATGATCATCTCACACTCCAATGATACACTATTAGTATAATCAAAACAACTTCATATTTTAATAATACCTCAATTTAAAAATATGTGGATTAACATGTGTAAGTATACACTGTTTCCACTTTTTACTTTCTTATTGTCTCCTTCTGTCCTGTTCTAATATGTATGTATCATGCACATCAGATAGGTCAGATTAATTTTTCCTCGTAATTCACATTCATTCATCATATACCTGCAGAAGTCTCTGCTAGACTCACATCTTATTTTGGCCATTATCCAGACGTAAACTAAAAACATCTATCAATATTACCACTAACTGGAATATTAGACCCCTCTTTAAAGGAAAGAAAGCACCAAATAAGTAACTGGATAACATTTGGGACCCAATTTTTTAGAGGTCTTAAATATGATTATAAGGAGCATTCCACGTTTTTGGTTTCCAAGTGGACATTTGTGGCCAGGATTTCTCTGATCAATGGTGGAGAACTGGAGACGGCTGTTTCTCGAGCATCAACTTTCTGTGGGCTGTTGCTCCTGCTGCCTAGAACTCGAGGGCTCCTCCTCTCCCCACCCTTCCTCACAACACACCACCCTCCCCACGGCCACTGTGATGCCCTGACTTTAGAGGGTAAACCTGGCTCACTTCTGTAAACGGAAAGATGAGGTCATAAATTGCATCGTAAAAGTGCTAAGTCTATCAACATGGTGGTCGAGCCAGTTGGGAAAACAGCTGTCCAAAGGGGAATCTGTGTCTGGGGTGGGAGACATCATGTAGGGAGGTAAGCAACACTGAACACCAGGACGCATGCTGGTCCAGAAGTGACCAAGGGCACCCGCTCTCAGCCCTGGTCTCTAATGTCGCCACTTGATGTAAGCAGGTCCCCTGACTAAGGCTATAGGAGATTATATTTCAAGTAATTTTGGGAAAAACACTTCAACCCACATTATTCCAACAATTAAGTAAATTTATTGTATTATAAATGGGTAGTTTGGTGATTAAAATGTCCTTGGACATATAAAAATAAACTATAATAGGATGGTAGCAGGGTAAGCCAAAAGAGGAAAAATTTTCAATGATCCACAAATTAAAATGGTGTTTTTGAAAAATTATTTTCTATAGTATTTCTAACCTTATGTATAAGAGGAATTGTGAAAGGAAATTAAAAGTAAAATTGAGATCAAAAAAGCAAAAATGAGGTTAATAAAATCAATACTATACTGTCAAGAATGATTAAAATATTTGGAGTTCAGTTTATTTATATTTGTTTGTATGTTTATGTGTCATTTATGAATATATATACAGATATAAGTGGTTATGTGATAAATGAATCTGAATGAATATATATATATGGCAGAGACAAAAGTTAAATAAAAAGTCACTCCACTAATTCCTGTTGAACACAGGAATACCTCCAGGTGAGATCATACTAATCAACTATCGAAAAACAACTGGCATTGTTTTCATGACCAAGTTGCTGGACAATTTTGAAAATTTTGGTTAATTCTAAAGCAGACAGCGAACTGTCTCATTCTTGTATTGGAGAGAAGAAGAACCATTCATGTAAAATGTGAGGAAATGAGAGGTCATTTAAAAATACTAAGAGGTGATTTTTAGAACTATCCAAGCTGTGATTTGGATAGCCTCTAACTTATGTTTAAATAAAATACAACAGTTACACCTAACCTCTATAAGCAATTCAAATTACGGTGCTTCTCTTTGATTATTATAGATCTGAGAATTTGAGAAATATTCATTTTTTCTATATGATATAAAAAGTGAAAATAAGTTTAACAGAATTTTTTCTCTTCACCTAAGTTCTGTAACATGGTGGACGCAGTCACTGAACCTCATTTTGTTCAGAACCTTCTGTCACAAAAGTCCAACCACTGAGACAGACCCAACCTTGAAACCAAAGCACGTTTTATGTCCACGAAGTACGTAGAGGAATTTAGAGAAAATCCCAAACATTTCAGTCAATTAGATGTTATCATCAAAACAAGGCGCTTGGTTAAAACTATACTTCTAAGAACAATATGTAGCTTTTGGAGTATTTCCTTTTTAAATTGTTTTTAATAACTACAATTGCCATTACAAGGAATGCTAAGATTCATAACCATTCTGACTTTTCGGTCTCTCTCCTTAATTTTGTTTTTAAATAAAAGTAAAAGGTACATAGTCAACAATTGCTAGAATTTTATCAATTACACGTTATCTAGCTCTTTAGAAATAGATGCTGGTTAGTTTCCCTCATTAAGAGGACAGACACCCCCCAGCAGTGTCCACTACGAGACATCAGCATGTCTGGTGCTGGAGCAAACCTGAGGACTTAGACTCAAGTTCTCCTCAGGGAACGTCCACGTACTTCTCCTTTTTCCCTAGGTATCACGTGCTCCATCTTTGTGCAAACATGGTCACTTTCACACAGTTAACTAACCGGCACAGTAAATTAATAAGCCTAACTTTTTTGGGGCACAGAATTTACAAGATGTGGTGATTAATATTCTTCTCATCATTTTTCTGGAGTCTTTTCTATATGTGCAATTCTATATTTTCCAGGAAGACCTCCTTACAAGCACTTAAAAATTACACTGATATTTTTCAACAATTAGTTGTTCACGGTTGCTGGGTGGCTTCTATCTCCATAGACACCATCATTAACGTGGAGCATCAGTTTTCCCATCCCGGCCTTTCTACGTTTCTAATTACAGACTTGAAAGAATTACTCTTAAAAAGGAATTAGAAGGAAAAAAAACTAGTGAGTTTTTCTGAAAATATTTTTTCCACTATGGTAAATGAAAAGAAACAATACTGAATGCTTCCATCAGGTCTAAAGCCAGACTCATGGCATCTTTCCAGAAATTTTGAGACATTAACCATTTCTACTCATTTCTTGTTTAAACCAGATTCAAGAAGATGACCTTGAGCATGACAATCCTTCCTGCCAACATCTCCTTCCTGATTTCCCTCTAATATATAACACTACTCTAGTCTGCCCACCCGCCCTCCCTTCCTTCCTTCGTGCCTTCCTTCCTTTACTTCTTTGTTTCAATAAAGCCCCTTCTCTTATTCAAGTCAAACAATGGTTTCCAGTACTCTATAAAATATGCTTGATATAACAAGTCATACTGTTGATTCTCACTACGTTCAAATGTTCAAGGCAAGTACTTTTTTTTTTCTCATTCCTTCAAAAATTCTGGAATACTAATAGAAAACACTACTACACCACATAACAACATGAGGTAGCCAGGCAGAGATCAGAGACAGCGGCCTGTACTTCTTATCTGGATCTGGGGAAGAACTCAGCCAAGAGCTCATCAAGGCATCCCAAGGCTTTTAAATCGGTGTGAGATTCCTCCCTGGGTTTCCCAAAATTTCAATTATATCATTTTAAATGTGTGCATTTCTTGGACTGTGAATTAAGGTGTAAGTAGTATCTTGGATGAAGGACTTAGATGTAGAGTCAGGGAATTACATGAGTATTGAAAAAAGGC